CATTTCCGGTGACTATTTTTAGAAGCATGTAAATAACGTCTTCTCTACACAAACAATATAAACGACAGGCCGCGGAAATCTATTCTTATCAAACAAAAGATACTGTGCTCGGCCCATACTGCATGGAAACTGACCCAGCCCAGCTTTTAACCATTAAGAATAGAGGTTCCCGAGCAGAACGCTTCGCACTAAGAAGAGCGATTGAACAGTGCGAGTTCTGCCATTTTGGTTTGGACAGCGTTTGCAGGTGCGGTCGGGGAAAGAAAAAAATTAAATGACAACCAGGAATGCTGAAATATTAAAGCACCACACCTAACCATGGGAACATTAGATGAACATTACACTAATATAATCCTATTTACCGAAAACAGATCCTCAGTTGGCAACGGCAAGTCGTCAACCTACCTGCCAAAATACAGCAAACATTGGCAGGACAGGATGAAACGCGTATGATGAACTGTAACCGTTGTCAGATCAGCTGCTGAAAGGACAGTACTGATATCCTGAAGACAGATCATTTCTGATTGGACAGCTGGGGTTACTGCTCTTTACTACTCTTTTCATTAGGTTATCAAAGAACCTGAAAAGTTAAATATATACTTGTAAAGTCCACTCATTTCCGGGCTCCTGGGATAGGTCCAGCCATCCTTTAAAGCAGTGGTTCTCAACTCGTGAGTCGCGACCCAAAAGTGGGTCGCGACACCTTCTTCAGTGGGTCGCGTGCTTTAAACGAAACATGAGACAGAAGAACAGTGGCTGCACCGATACTAGTATCGGTGCTGAGTATTTGGGCAAGTACTCGTACTTACGACTTATACGAATAATTGTTGCAGCTCTACGGCCGTGACATCACGCCCATTTGTCATACAATGAAAGCATGTTCAGCTGAACCGAAGCCAGCCGTACAAGGGCCAACATGAAAAGCCGAACTGCGTTCGGCTCACTTCACTTCAGCTTGGTTATCCACTCGTCTGCCTTCGTCAGCGTAGTGAATAACTCCCTTAGTGTTCCAAGCCAATTTTCTCTGCATCTTCCCAACCTGCAAAAGTGAGGCTGCCACATTGCATTGTGGGAATGCAGGGGGCAGAACAGGAGCTCTGAGCTGAAGCGAAGTCAAGAAATTCAGGAAATGTGCATCTGGCTTCAGTGGGCTTCTCAGCAACACAAGAATACAAGCATGCACCCTTGGCACCTTCTCTGTTAGCTGCCATCAAATAAACAAATTCGGGGATACCACGTGTTTACTTTAAACTGGGGATGCACCGATACTAGTATCGGTGCCGATACCGAGTATTTGGATGAGTACTCGTACTCGCCCAAATGCTCCGATACCTAGCACGAGTACTTCCTGTATCAGGAAGCCGGGCAGTGAATCATTACATGCTGCCCGGTTTCCTGATTGGCCAGGAAACGGCTCCATGCTCTCTCGTCACAGGCCTCACTGCACCACTCATTCAGGCTTGAAAAAGAGGCGGAGCCTCGAAACGCGTAGCCGCTGTCATTTGGACACTGTCCTTGTCCTTTTCTTTCATCCTCCCTTGCTTGTGACATGTTTGAGATATCGCTCGCACAGACCCCCGAGGTCCCCGAACGGTCCGGCACTGACATCGCCTTATACTCCTGACACCGCAGCTCAGCCTGGCCAGCTGAGACCGCGTTGTTCAACGACTATCCATCACAGCTCTCAGACTGTTCCTCTGCATATACTTCCGGCATCGTAAGACCAGCTCATATGCGATATGCTGACAACATTAACGTGAGTCTTCTTCACAGTAGTGGCGCTCTTTCATTGTGTGATTTTAGATGAGAGAGCATGGAGCCGACTTCCCGGCCAATCAGGAAGCCGTGCAGCGTGCAATGACGTGCTGCCTGGCTTCCCGATTGGTCAGGAAGCTAGCAAATCCAGAAGCCGTGTAATGACGCAGCGCCCGGCATTCTGATTGGCCGGGAAGCCGGCGTCATGCTCCCTCGTCATCTCATGAATCATAATATTAAGAAAGTGACCTTAAAGCATTAGTTTGTATTGCTTTAGAAAAAATGTGACCTGTCCCTTTAAGAAAAAGTATCGGTAATTGGTATCTGCGAGTACTTGATCAAAAGTATCGGTACTCGTACCCGGTCTTAAAAAAGTGGTATCTGTGCATCCCTACTTTAAACCACAAAGTTAACCTACCAGCAACCAGCTCACATGGACGTTTATCCTCCACTGACCTACACCTGCTACAGGAGTTCACAGAGGTCCAGAGAAGTATTACTGGCTGCGGGTAAACACCACAGGTAACAATTGCTACATAGAAGGCTCAGTTCACACCGGTTTCAGGTTGTATAAAAGCAATGGGAACACCTTTAAAGAGCATTCTTGAAACCTGTAAAGCACTTTTTATGAACTCAGATATTGATGGGAGTGCCGACCGTATCTTTAAACAAGCTGCAAGCAGGCTTTCAACGAGCTTCAAGTTGTGCTGAAGCTTACTGATGTCTGTTAGCAGCTTGTTACAAGTGACAGTCATCACTCCCGTTAAGATCCAAGTTTAATATTCCCAAACTGGGCTGAAAGGTACTTTGCAAGCTTGCACGAATCTTGCTGAAAGCTCTGTAAATGCTCTATAAAAGCTTGACGTTTGCACTGCTGGTGTACAAGCTGAAGCCTGTGTGAACTAGGCCTATGGTAGCAAAATGTGGCACCTAAACTATAAATGTTTGGCAGCTGGACTGTATGGCATTCATTGTGGAATACAAAATATCCATTATGGCTGTGAAGAAAACAAACAGATATTCAAGTACTGAGAACCACTTCAAAGACAATCCCGAAGCATGGTGGTTCAGACAATGGCAAGGCAAAAACGTGTCCTCACCAACACACCTTGATGCCCAGTGCTGGGATCAGAGTATAATAAACATCTTAGTGATGTGTCCATCTGCTTAATGACATAAGCTGATCATAAGAACCATCTCCCAGACATTAGCACATATCATGCAGACATACAGCCACACATTTCACGGGTACAAATGAGCCCTTAGTGCATTTTGCTCAAAATACATAACTGGTGTCACAGTGGTCGCTACCAAAGAGATGATCTACTTCCATCCCTAAATGGGACAAGATCCTGGTCTAGTTTGTTTTCTTGCAGCTAAGAATCAGTAGCAGTTCATATTTTCTGCAGGCCCCAACAAGACGCCAGGTGTGAGATACTCAGGAACCCAGGAAGAAAGGCAGGTTTGTCATTTAACCATCTCTATACCTACAGATGCAGCCCCGGTGATGATGTATTATGGATAATAGGAGGTCATGGTCAATTTATAGTTGGCTTCAGGGGCATGGCTGCTTTCTACAGCGCAGGAGCTTTGTGGAACATTATTTTAAATGTGTATCTCAGAGAAAATATAATAATGGAGAAGAGCTCTATGGGTTTATGTCATATACACTTCCCACAATCCCTCAGTAGGTATCACTGAGGGTTCAAGAGCATGGGTGACTTCCGGTGTGTCCAACATTCATAACGACGTTACAGTAATCACCAGCAGGGTTATTCACAAAGGGGTGAAGAAATGTACAATCTTGGAGAACATAGTTGGACTGGAATTACGCTCCAATTCAGCTCACTTTCCACTTCAGCTATGTTGTCCTAGATTGTTCACTTCCCCTGCCTTCTCCAAACTCATCACCCTTTAGTGAATAACCCTGCACATTTGTAGATAGTAGTACAAGGGTTGAAGAAACCCCAAAATAATGTCAAACAGGAATGACTATCACCTTTAATCCGACTGAATACGCAAACTCATTTGTGTTGACCGTGAAATCTTCACACCAAGTTATAGATCTGCATGGTTCTCTGTGGCTTGCACAAGGAGGGACTTTGGGATTATCCTGAACCCATATGCTTGTCAATAATGGCCTGCAATTCTGGCCATAGATGCAAGATTTTAAGGCAATGTCCCCCAGCTTTTGATCACAAAACTCACTAGAAACCTAGAACAAGACAATCTACCACCAACCGATATTGAGAGCACCTATTGCTGGAACGTTGCGTTGATCCGTTACAATTACAAGCTGGCTGGAATTGCCTAGAGATTTCATGTGTATGGCTAGCACAGTGGTGGACTCAGCATTACAGGATTCAGGAGGCAGTCTATCCAATAGCAAGCAGGATTTGTTTACGAGCAAATCCCTTGACAACATCTATAGAGAACCTCAAAAGTTAGGAGCCAACTGTAAACATTAAAGTGACATTAAACCCTCAGATTTTTTAACATAAAACAATACTGTAATGTGTGCCTTACTGTAATCCATGGTTGTTTCCCTTCTCTTTGCTGCTCTTCCTTTTAAATCTGTATCTGTTCTCATGCTGGTCAGAACTTCTGTTTTGCAGCAGACTGCCTTGTCTCTGGAATGGCTACATGGTGTCTGTGTGAAGGTTCACAACCTGAGCCAGCACTACAGGAAGAGGCACTCAGCTGCAAATGGAAGTTCTCCCCCAGCATGAGAAGAGATAAGGATTTAAAAGGAAGAGCAGCAAAGAGAAGGGAAACAACCCTGGACTACAGTAAGGCACACATTACACTATTGGTTTATGTTAAAAAATCTGAGGGTTTAATGTCACTTTAAGGTGCATTGGTTACCCGACTCCCGGGATTTGTCCAGCCCGGGGCTAGCACAACTGATGCCACAACCGTCCATGCTCTTCAGAACCTTTACTGGTGAAATATGACTAGTTCTAATAAATACACGTGTGCTCAGACTTGGAAATGTGAGAAACATGGGCAGGATATATCACCTATTACAGAACTAACGTAAACAGAGCATTTTCATTTTCTCAGGGAATGAGAAGTGTGTGTTGGCTACAAGAAACAGACCCATAGACTCTGCAGTCCTTGAGGACCACAGTTTGTAAACTATTCTAAGTAACAACAATTAGCAGGAGATAATTCTGGTACAATGTGTACCCATACCAAGCCTGAACAGACAAGTCGTGACCAGATATCATATGCGATATACTCACAGCTGCTCCTTGCTCGTCAGGATTGCAGAGAAGTAGTTGTAACCCATTGGGTTCTACATCGCTGCCAATGAAGTCATCTTCGGACTCTTCAAACGATGAAGCAGACGACAGACCGGAGGAACTGGACAGCTTGCGTAGGAAAAGAGACGGTACAGGAGACCCACCACAGCCACTGTCCGAGGCGGGGGATTCTGCTTCCCCTGAGAAGGGAACATCTAGAACAAAGCCTGTTTCATGGAATTGGGGAGACAAGGAAGGTGAGAAACCCCTCCTGGGGCTGGCATCTCGAGTGACGATAAGTCGGGGGATGGAGTAACTGTGGGTGTCAGAGGCCAGAAGCAAAGGAGGGCCCCTTCTATGCAACGAGTCTCTGCATAACTCATCTGTCTGAGCTGCTTCACTGGTGCTCTCTGCGTCCGGTGGGGTGATGGTTAGCCTTAAGCCAGGAATTCCAGAGTCCCGATTCCACAATTCCTCAATGGGACTATGATGGGGATGGAAGTTTGATCCAAGTTTTTTATTGGTCCCCAAGATATTGTTTGTGTGCGAGAAGACCTCAGTGCGGAATAATCCAGTTGTTGTTTCTTTGGGAGCTTTGTCAAGCTGTCTGCCATGTGCGTCTACTTCAGTCCCAGATTTTTTCGACGTTTGGTCCACAGTACTCACACTCAACACTGAATGCGTTACCGTCTTCTCTACACTCCCGGAAAAAAAGTTCCCTCTGTGTTCCGAAGACGTGGTTTCCAAAGTTACCATTCTGCTGGTCACCTCCACCCTCCTGCAATCTCTGTTCGCCATGCTCTCTACCAGGTGCTCTGCGTCCCCCAACACGTTTTTAAGAGTGTCCTTGGAAGACCCCATGATGGTCTTTCCATCGGCTTCAACCCATGCTCTCCCTTTGCCAATCATAGCGGACTTGGCAGCATCACACGAGGACATATCCCTTCTGTGCCGCGTTCCCTGCCCATCCAGTCTCATGTCAAGATCTGCAGCAGCTTGTGTGCTGGCCACTGTACCTTGGCACGGTGTCAGCGTGCCGTCTCGTGCGCCAGGTAGATCCGATGGGTGAAGAGCGGCTATGAATGCCTTTCCCTTTGTGTTCTCAGGTATATAATGCGCTGTGTCCCCTGAGTCATGGGATTGCACAACTTTAGTGGATGACAAGTCACTGGAACTACACCTAGATGGGACAGACTGCAGGCTATCTACCAATGGCTCAGCTTGCCCTAAGCCCTGCTCTGTGCCCACTGGTGACCCACCACGTGACTGTGGATGGGGTCCACTCTGCACTCTGGTTAGGGTCAGGCTGCTGGCAATATCCAGATGCTGTACACTGCCCCCAGTAACCTGTCCTGGGCCCAGTGATGAGCCTCCCCGTAATACTTCAGGCTGCTCTATACTCTGCACTCTACTTGCTGCTAGGTTGCTCTCAGGATGCTCTCTGTCCTGAGCTGCACTTGCTGACTTGCTGCTTCCAGTCCCAGGTTCCTGTAAGCTCCCTTCCCTCCTCTGGGGGCCGGACAGTTGCTTGGCCGGGCTCTTGCCTTCTTTCCTCCGTCTTCTACGGACTCTAAAGTGCTTCTTCCACTCTCCGGCCGCGGAGAAGGCAGCAGCAGACTCCGCTGCGCTATTGGAAGAGCTTTGCCCCATTACAGCTCCCGTTGCCAGGAGACTCCCCCCTCCTGCAGATGACGTCGCCAACCAAGTTGACCAATCGCACGTCCCGGGGCGCGGCTACGGCCACGAGCAATGCATTTGTATCAATGCGCGCTCAGAAGGGGATTTTGTCTTTCTTTACAATGAGATGTATCCATCCGCCCTATAGTATTATAGTCCACCGGGATCGATCATGTGAGTCATACCGGAAAGATGCTTCTCGGTGTGGAAATTACACAGATGAGGCCTTGAGGTTTATCTGTGGAGACATAAACACAGTCATAGTCAATGGAGTTCAGTAAACAGAAGCATGCAGGCATACAACATTCTATTGTCCATTCTCTGGACCATGAGGAGTCAGAGTGCCAATAAATGTGGTCAGTTCCTTTAAATCTGACGCCTATGGGGTACCTGCAGACCTGGCTGATATTATTGATGGCCGATTTGCTTTTATGCGTTGTGGGAGCGCACATTTCCGCAATGCATCTTACATTGCAGTCCATTGACTTTTTAACAGAAAGGCGCAAAGGCAATGCATACATGTCACATCGCAACACATAACAACCCACAATAGGGAGTTGCAGTAAAAAATGTGTGACCAGTCAGATTTGTTTTGGACACTTGGGTGCATCTGAAGCCCATTGATTTCAATAGGCTGCCTTAGTGCAACGCACATTATCAATATTATTATACAGGATTTATATAGCGCCAACAGTTTGTGCAGCATTTTACAATGTAAACACTTGACATACCATGTGACACATCCCCAGCACAGTCCCCGCCCCTCCGTGTACATCATAGCCCACTCCTCTAATGGGAATGTCTCTTTCTTCAATTCAAAATATTAACAATCACTTACAAAGCCATCCACAACTCTGCCCCCGACTATATCTCCAAACTCGTCTCAAAGTATCACCCTAACCGTCTCCTCTGCTTTTCTAAAGACCTCCTGCTTTCCACTTCCCTTGTCAACTCCTCCCATACTCGCCTCCAGGACTTCTTTAGAGTCTCTCCCATCCTTTGGAACGCTTAACCCCAACCTGTCCGTCTATCTCCCACTCTGACTGCCTTTTGGCGATCGCTAAAGACTCATCTCTTCAGGGAAGCCTATCCCACCTCAACCTAACCGCTCAACCATCACGTTCTCAAACAATTCATCCCCACACAGCTACCTCCTCATGTATCACTTGCCCCTCCCTTTTAGATTGTAAGCCCTCAGGGGCAGGACCCTTCTTACCATCTTGTCTTAAATTGTAATTGTAATTTCTTCCTTATATGGTAAAGTGCGCAAACTGTTGGCGCTGTATAAATCCTGTATCATAATAATAATTTCTGCCTGTGCTGGCACAGCTCCTTCACCCCTCATCTCCCTAGATAAACCTTTATGTAGCTCCCAGGGAAGAAGCAAAGGAGGATACAATAGAGTGCCACTTCAATGAGTTTGTTAGGGCTGTTGACATCACATCCAAGAAATCTTGTGGCTTTTGGATGTCTACACAAAGGAGGTTTTTACAAGGAAATGCATAACATACATTCATTAAGTGAAATGGACAAATAATCTTGTGGGAAGATTGCAGTTGTACTTCATTGTTTGGTGACAGGGTCTCTTTAGGCGCTCATTCACAATACATGGTATAAGCATGGAAAGTAAGTGTAGGATGCTGGGGGGAGGGGCTGCATCAAAGTGCACCGGGGGCTTTGCCATGCACTGGTTCACTTTAAAAGAAAACTATTCTTTGTTATTTTAAACTGATTATTATTATTATTAATTATATTATTCAATGGGCGCCACACAGGAAAGTAGCTCATGTAGCAGATTCTGCTAGTGACATACCACATTTTTCTGCCACCCATTTGTACGCGTTGCCATGTTTGGGGTGCCATTAAAGCGCACCTTTACCCATATCTTTAAAATAACAACAAACACACCTTTAGAAATGTTTAGTGATGACAATCTACAAACACATACTTCTAGATCATTGCAGACTTTGTATTATTTGCATTCCTTGTTTCTCTTTTCTTCCCCAGTTTTCTGACAGTGGCCATGTTTACCAAGGGCATATTACTAGCTCTCCTATTACTTCCTGGATTTATGGCACATGTGACTAGACATGTGACCATGCACATCATCTCAGGGGAGGAAAATGTCTTTCCCTGAGATCTTGTGAGATTACAGATGAGATTTCCCAGCAATGCTCTGCTGATGACAAGGCAATCCCAGTGTGCATTGCTTTGGCAAACTAAAGTCATTTGCAGTTTCAAAGCAGGAAGTGAATGCTCTGGAAGTGTAAGTATTTCACAATCACAGCATTTTACACCTCACATGTCTATGTTATTATTAATCATCATACATAGAGGGATGCATTGGTAGAATTTGATTTCTGAGTGTAAAGGCCTGCACCACAAGTGCGATGCATGTTTTTGTCGCATTCACGGAACATGAAGGTGTTAAGCCCTGGCATGCAAACTGACCATGCAAGCGCGTATTTGCTTCCGTGCTTTGCGTGGTCAGGAAGAAGGGGGACTGGCAGAAAAAAACAGGTCATTGTAACGTATGCAGTCCCTGAAACAGAGGGAGACTAGTTTATTTTAAAGATAAACATTATCACACCCTCATAAAAGAAAAAAGAAAAGGGTAAGACTCTTTAAAGCACTTCTGTATATGTTGGTGCTATATATCCTAATCATAAAAGTAGCTTACGCCTTTTACGGTATTACAAACATCGGTTAATCATTGTTGTCAGTTCAGAAACTTTAAAGGAATTCGCAAGATGGTGTATTAAAGGAGCGGACACACCTAGGAGCGGGGCCGTCACACTCTGTAAGTGAATACAATGGTTTGCACACATCCACTGTCACCTCTGCACTAAAATAGAGAGGATTATGTGTGATGTTATCCCATTGAAACAATCCCAGCCCGGGATCTATTGTTACTCCACAGATGTGATTGAAGTGTGACGCTGCCATGACTTACATGCTGGTTCACAGATGCATTGTGACTCACGGATGTGGAACTGCCAGGAATAGGACTGGCTGACACATTGAATTCAAGGTCGATACTACATTACGAGTCAGTAAACCACCGGTACATAATTGTTTTACCACTTGGCCAAATATAGATGCACAGGATCCGCACACTGCCAGAGATTTCACTGGGTATCCGTGTGTGTCACTGCTGACAGTCAACTATGTCATAGGTATAACTGAAGACTATCATAACATGATCCTAGGAATTCAATCAACGGGATGTCATTCTAAGCCACAGTTACAAATAAATGATGATAAACATTGCTTATAGGATAATTGCTGAATTTGGGATTGCTCATTTTAGAGAGAACGTAAAAAAGCAACTAAAAAAAACCCCCAAAAAATATTCACTTATCGATCTTTAACTTTGGCATAACTCCCAAACCTAACCATAACCAAAAGCTAGACAAAACACTAGCATAACCTTAAATTGATCCCTAACTTTTAACTTGAGCCTAATTCCTAATGTAACCCTTAACCTTTTAAAAGTAAACCTGTGGCCTGCCCTTCTGGGCATAGCACAGCTGTTATGCAAAAAAGTCCTAGTCACCCACTGCCCCTACAGCCATTGTCAGGTCCGAGGGCTTGTCAGGTGTTAGGTCCAAGGGCTCTGGACTGAGGTCTCAGGAATAAGGTCCCAGAACTAAGGTGTCATGACTTAGGTGTCAGGACTCAGGTCTTAGGTCTCAAGGCTCAAGTTTCTGGACTCAGGTATGAGGATTCAGGACTCAGGACTCTAGACTCAAGAATCAGGTCTCAGGACTCATGTCTCATGACTCTGAACTCAGGTCTCAGGACTGAAGACTTAGGTCTCTGGACTCAGGTCTCAAGACTTAGGTCTCAAGACTCGGGTCTGAGGACTCAGGTCCCAGGTAAGAGAATGCAGGACCCAGGTCTCGGAACTCAGGTCTCAGGACTCATGTCTCAGGGCTCTGAACTCAGGTCTCAAGACTTGGGTCTCAGGACTTGGGTCTTAGGTCTCAAGACTTGGGTCTCAGGACTATTTGTCAACACTGGACTCCACAGTATTTCATCAAAATGGCAAAACGTTCCCAATGTTCCCCAAAAGTTTTTTGTGCATTTAAACGTTTTTTGTCTACAATGGACTCCAATGTATGTCACCAAAATGACAAAACTTTCCCAATTTTCCCCAAAAGTTCAGGACAAAAAAGTAATTCTGCCTATCCCTATTTGTCACTGATTATTTTTCTGTCCATGCCTTCAATATTTATAAATATTTGTTGAGTCCTTCCACTAATTGGCCTGTATGTGGGCATCCTCCGTGTAAAAGCTACAACATCTTCAGATCACCTAATCACAGGTTTTCCTTATCTGAAAATCCAGTTAATGAGAATTTGTGTTTACATCCATCTGAACTGTAGAAACTGGCAATAGCTACAAACTGTATGCAGGTCCTCACCCGTGTGCCCACACAGTCTTTGCCCTGCTTTTAAATCTTTTGTCTAAAAGCAGAAAGGAAACTGCAGCACATTTCCCATTTGTTTGGCCACATACGTGTTACACTTAGGTTTTAAAAATATCACATGCTGCAGTTCTGTTCCTGATGATTTCCTTAAAGGCCGATTGAATCTTCAGGTTAAATCAGCTAAATACATGCCTGAAACATCAAAACAGGAGGTGTTAAAAGTCTGGCTTTTTTTTTTTATGAAGCAAGCTTTTGCTTCCTGCTGATTGGAGAGCTCTGGCACAGGAGGGTGTATGTTGGATCTCTGTAGAGAGCACTGTTTCCACAGAGAGAAAACGGGTCTTTCTCTTTAGCATGCTGGCAATGGACAGTATTTCCTACCCAGGTTCTGGTTCTGGCTGTTTTCTAAAGATGATAAATTGCAAGACTGCAGGTTTAAACTGAAAGTTCTGCTAGTCTTCAAAATAACTTTGTAGTTAAGGTATAGCTAAAGGCAAACTTTTTCTGTAGTTTTGGGTAAAGTGGTGAGGGGGTTAGATCA